ATTGAGAACGCCAGATATCACTTTTCATGTTATATTTTTTTCAACAATCGACAAACTTTTTTCTTGTTGATTCTTTTGGTATATATGCAGCGAATGAAATGTTGACATATAGTCAAGAAAGTTTTTGAACTAACAAAAATTTGTATATGTAGTATAGTTTTCGAAATATGATTTTTCAAAGATGTAGGTACGCATGGCATGACTGGCGACTATAGAGCGTAGTTATAGGTTGTAGGGCAGTATGCAACAATCTGTTGAAGATGCAGTGTAACATTTGCGAAAAGAGTGTATCATATAATGATAAAAATATTACAAAAAATTCACGGATACAAGGCCTGCTCTCGTTATTATCAGCAGCGGAAAGAAGAAATGATATTTGTGGATCCCGTATTCTTATGCGAAGAGAGCTGATTCTGTCTGGGAAAGAAATAGTTATTTATTATACAAGGGAAAAAAGTAGTAGATTTTAGCTCCAGGTTGTGTTGTCTCCCGACGCGTAGCGGAGGGAGACAAAAAACCGTGAGCTAAAATCTAATATTTTTCCCGTGTATAATACACTATTTTTTTCTGTGACAGAAGGAAGGACGATTCAATATTGGGAAGATATTACATTATTTCGAAATCTGAAAATTATCGACGTGAAATTTCAAGTTTTTAACAGTAGGGACACCTGCGTTTTATAGACATCTTTATCATTCTTTTGAAGTAATCAAATATCTGATGTCACTTCTGTCAGTTCAATTCTGTGATTCGATTTTGAAAAATTGCGAATTCAGTAGTTGTTTAGTAATATACGAAACCGCGAAGTCGAATGGAAGATAAAAGGACTTGCAGTTCTTTCTCGGAGACGGTTTTATTGACTTATTTTTCGGAACTATAGCACAACAAAAGCCATTAACAGAGTATATATATGTGATATATATCCGGGAAAGAAGTACTCACTTTTTTCCCACGGGAAAAAAGTAATTTATGAAAAGTGACATTTTATAACCTGCCAACAGAGATGAAATGCCAAACTTTTTTCCCGTCACAGAAAAAAAAATATTTATCATAATGAATGTAGAAAAAGTTACAGCAGCATGCACAATATTCAAATATTGCCGAATTTTACTGGTTGCCAGAAAAATATAGAAGCGGGACCATCAACTCGGAATGCAAATGCATTTTTGATATTGGAAGAATGTGTATCATTTGTGATAGGGGTGAAAAGAGGAAACATCAGAAATTCGTATCTGTTCAAACAGGTATGTGAAAATGTTCTCGAATTATAAAGACATTCGAAAATATTTCATTGAGATTTCAATATCATTGAAGAGTTAAAGAATAAGGATAATAATATATCATTATTCAATAATATTAAATTTTTTGAACAATCTTGAAATAATTTTCATTTGGAATGAACGAACTTTAAAAATCTCATTATTCATTTGCCATCAAAAAAAAGCACACTATAAGTAGAATATCAATTATTATGAACTGATCTGAATGTCAATCATGCGGGAAATGAGTATACATCATGTCGTGACGATTTGACTAAAAATATAGATATAAATAGGACATTTTTATTCTTAAATCATAATATGTAGAAATATTCAAACCCAAAATTACGAATTAGGATGAATACAAAATCATGATTTATAGTTGATTTTATTTAACGATAGCATGATTTTATTGAACGATGTCCGTATCTTTGAAGTATATGCTCCTATTATATATAAATTAAAATGATACTATCAAAACATTGAATGATTCACGTTATCACTAAACGATACATACCAATCGGCCTTCAAAAGAGCTACCCTCCATTGATGATGCTTTCCAGCAACACTTACTAAGGTTTGTGATTAGTTTCATTTCTTATTATTTCATTTCATTGAATCAATCAATTATTTCTAGATGTATATATCAATTGAAAATATGGTATTCATCCTTTTTACCATATATTCCTACTGAAAATCCGGAAAATTTTGGTTGGAAACACGAAAACGATTGTTGGAACCCTGTTTTTACTGAGCAGGAACCTATTCCAGATTCTGTAAGAATAATCCTGGCCATTCTTTGTGCCGATGAAAACTGCACAAATAATAGGTGTATATGCATGAAAGAAGGGTTGAAATGTTCTAGTGAATGTAAATGTAGAGACTGCCAAAATACATTCAGGGATCCAGTTGGGCTAGAATCAGGAAATGAAGAATAATACTGAGATGAATATCATTTTCTGTTTGATAGTTTGGTTTAAACTCAATTATATTTTGTAACTTATGAAATCGTTTCCATTTTGAGAAATATGAAATGCAGTATTATTTTTCTCTATACTTGCATCATTGACCTTGAAACCATCATTAGAACAATTTCTCAACATAACATTGTGCACTGATGGAGCGGGTATTGGGAGTAGGCACTGGTATTATTGCGCTGAGCGCGAACAGTTACCGGAGGCGCGGAATTAGCATGTTTTTAAAAAATCATACCGTCAAAACTATTTCATATGTATCGAATTTTTTTATTCTGAAGAATTCGAATAATAAAAAAGTTTTTCGATCAGTGAAAATTTCATCTCACGGTTTTCACTATTTCATATTCTCAACTTATTCAGAAAAAAACCCGATTTCATTACATTATTCTATTGGCATGATGAAAAGCGCTAGATCATCTCCTTCCGATTAAACGGAAAAGCAAATCAACATCTTGAGTAGTTCTCGAAATATTGAATAATATGTTTAGAAAAACACAATTTTCGAATATCCAACTTTTTTCGTATTTTCTTGAATAAAAAAGTTCGCCCCCACAGAAAAATGTCGTCTAGCTGGACTATGATGGAAAATCACATAAGGAACATTACCTAATAGGTCCGATTTGGTTATACCTCGAAAAAAAAACGACACATTTTATCCCCGATTTTACTCCTCTATTATGTTTCTTCAAAAAACACAGTTTTGTTAGTTTGGGCTAGAGTTCCTCAATGTATCTGCGTCAGATACATTCAGGAACTCTATACCTTTTCAACTTCAATTTCGGAAAAAGTAATCTCGATTTCAGAATTGGTTGGTTCGATTTCAGAAATGGTAAACTCAATTTCAGAATCGGTGGGATGAATTTCAGAAAAAGTCCATAAAATTTCAGAAATGGTAAGTTTTATTTCAGAATTGGTAGGTTCAATTTCAGAAAAAAAATCCTTACATTTGTTCGAAATGTTTCCAATTGTATGTGAGATTAACAAACCATATTTTCAATATTCAACTTGTCAAAAACAATTCAATAACATAATTATAATCTCAATTTAATCCACAGATGCCTTCCATCCGAATCGCTGGAAGATAATAGCGTTGCACATGATTATGAGAATGCAAACACATTTGAGGTGTTATCATTTTCATTGAATCATTGATCTGCACGGGAGCATCCCACGATGCCCAATTCCCACGATGCCCAATTCCCACGATGCCCAATTCCCACGATGCCCAATTCCCACGATGCCCAATTCCTATGATGCCCACCTTCATGTCGACGATTACGAAAATTGCCGAAGAGCGCAACGTTGCCAGGTCAGGAGAAGAATTCAGAAAACACAAGATTCTCACCATGCCCACTTTTCATATATTCCCACGATGCCCAATTCCCACCATGCCCACTTTTCATTCATTCCTACGATGCCCAATTCCCACCATGCCCAACCTCTTTAGATTCCCACCATGTCCACTTTCCATACATTCCCACGATGCCCACCTCCTTCAGATTCCACCATGCCCACCTTTCATGCATTCCCACGATACCCTATTCCCACCATGCCCACCTTTATCATGGTGGGAATCCAAAGAAGGTGGGCAGGGTGGGTATTGGGCATCGTGGGAATGCATGAAAGGTGGGCATGCTGGGAATCTAAAGAAGGTGGGCATCGTGGGGAGTTATGAAAAGTGGGCATGGTGGGAATTGGGCATCGTGGGAATGTATAAAAAGTGGTCATGGTGGGAATCCAAAGAAGGTGGGCATGGTGGGAATTGGGCATCGTGGGAATGTATGAAAAGTGGGCATGGTGGGAATCTTAAGTTTTCTGAATTTTTCTCGACCTGGCAACGTTGCGCTCTTCGGCAATGTTCGTTATCGTCGACATGAAGGTGCGGGCATCGTAGGGAATTGGGCATCGTGGGAATTGGGCATCGTGGGAATTGGGCATCGTGCTACGCACCCGATCTGCACATTCCTCAAGACATCGCATTCTGAATTCTATCTGGTTGAGCAAGCTGTTCGGATCCCCTGCTATGACATTTGGCGATGCTCTTGCAAAATGCTCTTCACTTTTGACTTGAAGGCACCCCATATATGTTCAATCCGATTCAACATAGGGCTCTCAAACACCGTTCATCCACTGTAAACAATCTTCTCTTTTGCAATTAAAAACATTTCAAACATATAAAAGGATTTCATCTCCTGAAATTGAACCTACCAATAATAATTCTGAAATACAACTTACCATTTCTGAAATTGAATGGACTTTTTCTGAAATTCATCTCACCGATTCTGAAATTAAGTTTACCATTTCTGAAATCGAACTAACCAATTCTGAAATCGAGATTACTTTTTCCGAAATATAACTCACCGATTCCGAAATTGAAGTTGAAAAGGTATAGTTTGGGCCAACTTCACTGATATATCGATATATCGATATATATCGATAAATATCGATAAGTATCGATATATCGATGAATATCGATAAATATCGATACATCGATAAATATCGATACATCGATAAATATCGATATATCGATAAATATCGATATATCGATATATCGAACTTATCGATAAATTTCAACTTATCGATAACCGATAACTAAAATCCAATATCGCGCAGCCCTAGTTCTGTGTGTGAAATTGAACAGTTTCTTGTGAACCAACTATCAGGTGCTAGGTACTCATAAAAAATATTACTAGAACCAGTGAGTGATTTCTCGAAATAAAAAAGTTCTGCAATCAAATACACGTTTAATTGTTCAACCAAGTCACCTGTAACCAATATAAAAACAGTGTTGTCAACAGTTTACTGCTTATTTGATAAATACATTCGAAACTACATTCCACGCATATATTCTACTTTTGCTTGTCCATTTTTCTAATTATTTGTGGGACATAATTGATACTGCCAGCTTTGGCAAATAACGATTTATACATATCCAATCTCTGAGATGCCTGTAATGGAAAAAAATAATTCATTCGAAGCAATACGCTCATATAAAATAGAATGTATGTACTGACCAGAAATCCCCATTCATCTCTCACTTGTCTGTTTGAGTTCAAATCCATTTCCGCTATCAGGAGGCCGTTCGTTGTTCTCGATAATCCCTGAAAAATAAAAATCGAAGTCAATTGATCTTATTACTACTTTAGTACCACAAGCCTGCCGATAGATCATGGGGACATCAAAATGGCAGAAAGTTATTTTCCATAAAAATATCATTGAAACATGAGCGCAGTTGATTCAAAATTGTGTAATGGAGATTGCAGTATTTGGAATTATTTTCATAGCATTACTTGACCAAGGTAAATATTGATGCCTAAACAACTCACGATTCCTTTCATATTGAGAATCAAAAAGTGGTATTGTTTTTATGATCATAGGATTTTTATTTTACACTCTTGCCAAGAGTTCTTATAATTCTTGATCGTGCATACTGAATATATGAATTTTTCAGGGGTAATGTCAGGTGCTCTTGACAAACTCTGAATCATATTGTGATGCTTTCCAAATGGAAAAAATAGATAATCATCAGTAATCATTGATACTCAATATATAGCCCAGCAAACAATTTCGGTCGTTATTACGTCGGCCCAAAACCTACTCGCAAGAAATTGCCCACGCGGCAAAACAGCGGCAAACAACGTCGGTCAGAGGTCAATACATTTTACAATACGTCACTCTGGCCGACGGCTGGACCGATGTCTGTATACCGTCAGACCTTAAATTATAAAGAGAAGCAACCGGTCGCAGCGTTCGAAACTGCGACCTTTGGATTCCGAAGCCGGGATCTTATTCGACTAATAATGACTGACATTGACAATATATATCAATAGATACGGAATGAAACGAACAAAGGTAATAGGATGATTAAATATAACATTCACCCCTTCCCCCTCAGGTCCTCACAAAATCCTCCAAATACGTAGTGGGATATTTATTTCGAGTTGGCCGAGCACCAGTAAATTCATCTTTTCTTGTTGGCGTTCCCACTTGATTATCATCTGATGAATCTTGTGTTGAGTTGGATCCTTGTCCATACGTTGATCCTTGATCGGTTTCATCATTCAAGATCGGGTTCATCCAATAAAGTCACATCTCCTCGGGGAGCCAAATGTCGAGTTGAAACAGTATTCTCTTTTCCATTTGAAAAACGTACATGAGCATAATCTGGATTTGCTTCGATCAGTTGTACTTCTTCAACAAAAGGTTCATATTCATTGGTTCTCACATGTTGACAATTTGTAGATGATCTGCGAGCATAACTGAACATCCTTTCATGTGGAGTGCAATTAGAAGCCGTACATAGTAATGACCTTACTGAATGGAGAGCTTCTTGCAGCACCAATTCCCACTGCTCGATTCGAAGGGGTCCATATACATCATCAGAACGTATCGACACAGACCGTCGATTAGTAGGAATTTATTTGACTAGAATAGTAAGAAATCAGAATAGCAAATCATCAGAACCATATTTCAGCGACTGCAATATGTACAACCCGTAATTTGTCGAACCGTACTTTGACAGACTGCATTATGTCAGAATGCATAAATCACAATAGTATATCGAAAGACTGCCATATATTCAGAAGTGTACTTTGCCAAACCAGTAAATAAAATACTCTTCATGTCGTCAGAATCATAAAAATATATAATCGTAAAGTCATAGAACCGTAAAAGCACAGACTGTAATTCAGCGACCCGTACTCTGTAGACCACCATTTCATCAGAATGAACATTCCCGACCAGCAAACTGGCAGAATTGTGATGTACAGAATCTGAAAATGGCAGAATGCGAAAAGTTCATACCCGTAAAAAGACAGACTGTCGATTTTTGATACCCGTAAAATGAAAGATCCGTACAATGACAGACTCGTAAAAGCACAGACTGCCAATACTCTAGATCCGTAAAATGCAAGAACCGTACATCGACAGACTCATAATCCATCGGACTACCGGAATTTCCGATATATAATTCATCAAAACCGTAAAACGACAGACCCGTAAAACAGCAGAATCGTAAAATGACAGACTCGTACAATGGCAGAATCATGCAGCTACCAAACCCGTAAATTTTCAGAATTTTTTGGATTAAGACCCGTGAAATAGCAGAACCGTAAAATGGCAGAACCGTACATTGACAGACCCGTAAAACATCAGAACCGTACATCGACAGACCGTCAATATACCAGAATGTGTGAGACGCGTGGAGACTCGGAACAAGCGGTAGCGCATTGTTGCCAAGTTGAATCGATAGAAATTCCTTGCTATACCTACTCAAATCTGATTCAAACTGTTTTATGAAGAATTCTAGAGGGCTGAGAAAGGTTCGTACATTGTAGTATTTGTGTTTGATAATCTGTTTGATCCGAATCAGGAAGATATTGACATGATAATTTGATTGTATCAAGATAAAGAAGTATATATCATTCTTTTTGTTGAAAAATGATATAACAAAACATCAGACATGTGAATATAACGATGTTTTCTATGTATAATAGGTGACTCTATTCTCGGAGATTCTATAAGGCAGAAATGGAATCATTGTATGTCCATTTCTGAACATATAAATATTGGAGAAAAATATCAAACTTTCAAACTTTTCTATAGTCCAATGGTCTGAGATTCGGATCAGAGTGTATACCTTTCAATTTGATTCTCCAATTGAATAGTAGATAATATAAATAAAGAACTTGTAGCATTTGTATATCGCTATTTCGTTTCGGGAAACCTACTCCCCAAGAGTTTTCGAATCTAGTGATTTCTTATTGTCAATTGTGCCTAAATCCCTCACATGACTTCAGTTATAGATTAAATATAGGGTGTCCCAAAATTGCTCTACTTGAAGTAGAGGTCAAAATAAGTTGATTGGACCCAATTCGTTTATATACCAAAAAGTTTCGTTCGTCAATGGGGTACTTTGTATGTGATCAATGAGGTACTTTGTATGTGATCAATTTCATTTGCGTTTCGGATATCATAATGACTTCATTCATCTTCCATGAAATGTCAAATCTCAAGCAATGGCGGCTCGAAATACCGCCTGTTGGTTGATCGAGGAGGTGTTACATACATTTTACTTGATTATTTGGGATTTTCCCTCCTCGCTTCCACAAAATAATAATATGAGCATAATTTCAATATACAGTGTGGTCATTTAAGTGTGCAACATATGGGAATCTTCTTAATGAATTGCACAACCAAAATTCAGATAGTGCCAAGAGTTGGTGCATGTTCGATCATCATTTCAGGTGCACTCAGAATAGTTGCAAGTCAAACAGCATACAGGGTAGGTAAGAAGATATAAAAAGTGCTCAGGAGTAAAGTACCCGTATTTCAAAAAATTCAGCAGAATGTTATTGAGAAAAGTTGTTCACAATTAAAATTCATACCTAAATACCAGAACATGGCTTCCTAAGACATTCTTCAGTTCTTCAATTCCTTTCGTTGATAAATTCCCATTTTTTTTTTTCAAATTCAAGCATATTTTTGCATTCAACTTGGATTTCAATTTTTTTAGGAAATCTTAAACTTCATGTTTGTTGCAACGATATTCAGCTCAACTTTGGAATTTTGCGAACCCTATTTTCAACAAGGTAAAACATCATTAATGATAATATGCATATTCAAAAACCTCCATTCAATGTGAACATTTTGTATTTGAAATGTTTATGAAAAAGCTGAACAAATTGATCGACAACCATGATATCTTTTGAAAAATCACGGACACCCAAGGAACAGAAAAAATGAGGGTTGACAGTGACTATTGAGGCAGTTTGGTGACATACTCCTTATCTAATGATGTTTTACCTTGTTGAAAATATGGTTTGCGAAATCTCAAAATAAAGCTGTATATCGTTGCAACAAACATCAAGTTTGTGATTCCCTAAAAAAATAAAATCCAAGTTGATTGCACAAAAGTGCATTAATTTCAACAAAAGTATGATCAACTGATTTTGTTATGATCAAATTATGAAAGTGTTTAGGGTGAATATAAAAAAAATACAAATTGGGAAGTTATTAATGGAACAAATGGAAACACCAAAATATGTCTTAGGAGGCCATGTTTTGGTATTCAGGAAAAACTTTCAATTGTAAAGAACTTTTTTCCATAACAGTTTGCTGAATTTTCTGAAATAAGGATACTTTACTCCTGAGCATTTTTTATATTTTTTGACCTACCCTGTATGCTGTTTGACTTGCAACGATTCTAAGTGCACCTTAAATGATTACCGAACATGCACCAACGTTTGACACTATCTGTATTTTGGTTGTGCAATTCATCAAAAAAATTTCCATATGTTGCACACTGTACAGGGTGATTCACCATAAATGTCCCCCCCTTAAGCTCACTTATTATTGAACCGATTTGAAAATTTGAAAAATCATCTAAAATAATTTTTCAGAAAATTTTTTTCCGTTGCATCAGAAAATACAGGGTGCTCGGACCAAACGATCTACAGAGTACTACTTGATTTTTTCAAATGGAACACCCTGTATTTCATTGTATTTTTATATTCTTCCTGAAGAGCTGATTTCATCAATATATCACACTTGGGGTCTAGCGGGAATGATTACAGAGATATAGGGACTTCAAAATCGAGATTTTTCAACTTTAGGATTTTTTTGTGTTGAAACTATTCATTATTGGTCAAAACGGCTTTCATGTTCGTATCTCTTTTGTGATTCACTATCTACTGACATTTATTAATTGGAACAGATACAGGGTGGTCAGAATTCTGAATCTTGAATCACACTGTATATGTTCCAATTGAATGTCAGTAGATAGTAAATCAAAAGTTGAGATAGGAACATTGAAGCCGTTTTGACCAATGATGAATAGTTTCGACACAAAAAAATCCTAAAGTTGAATAATCTCGATTTTGAACACCCCATATCTCTGTAATCATTCCCGCTAGACCCCAAGTGTGATACATTGATGAAATCAGCTCTTCAGGAAGAATATAAAAATACAATGAAATACAGGGTGTTCCATTTGAAAAAATCAAGTAGTACTCTGTAGATCGTTTGGTCCGAGCACCCTGTATTTTCTGATGCAACGGAAAAAAAATTTCTGAAGAATCATTTTAGATGCTTTTTCAAATTT